CTGAACCTGAATGTGACTCTGCCTTGATACGACTGCTCTGCCGCTCGGCATAGGCATTTAATTGCGAATTGACCAATGAGGGCTCCTGTTTTACGTCGAGACGGCGGCGTTAGCGTGAAAATCACCCGAACATTTTGTTTACATCCGGTCTATCTCTTACCTGAATATACTGTAGTTATGATTCTTCGTCAGATTAACCAGCATGGAATAATACACCTATATGCGGGTTATCTCAATTTTTGGTATTTTGTCAGTTAGAACACTTCGTGAGAAAGGCGACGATATGTTTGCAACGCCTACAAAAATAAAATAAAAACATAAAAAAACAATTTTTCTTTATAACTAAGAAAACAAATGCAACATATGATACATCGTTGAATTCGTAGAAAAATATACAGGGTGTGTTTTTTTCGGACCATATAAAAAGATGAAGTTGATGATGGTTTCTCAGGCACAAAATTCAAAACCATCATGTAGTGCCTAAGAAATCCCAATGAAAAAGTTCCATTAGTTTTTTGGTATTACTTAAAATAAAGTCTGAAAAAATGATAATGATTTGGCCAAATTTTAGTATTTCCCAAATACCACCGTAAGCCATGAAATTTTCCTTAACGGCATATGTAAATACGTCCCAAAGAATCCTTTTTCCTAATTCAACATAAGCGGTATCTCCCGCAGGTATTGAGATCCCCGTGAATACTTATACTTATCTTGTTATAATAACCCAATTTAGAAGTTCTGTCAAAAACTCGTAGAGCTTCGCACATTGGATATTTGTGCCGATTTATTATAATCGCCATCGAGGCAAGACTCGTACTACAAATTAGTGTAAAGCTTCATATGCTCTAGACTAGACCTACAATGTATATACTTTTCTCATTCTCCGTATCAACTATAAGTAAACTGTGGCGAGTTACTGATGTCATCTTTTCAACCCCGAATAATGTCGCATATCTAACACCAGTCTCCACTCTTAACAATCTCGCAACCTTCCGCATCTCCTTCTAACGCCGCTGGTTGTTTCAATGAGACCGCATCTGCTGTTTCTGTGCAGATGCGCAGGTCTCCCCTCCTGTATGGAATGACGCAAAAGTCTACAATGTAGATGACACGTTCGAGTTTGGAGGGAGGGAAAGAGAGGTTAACGATCGATATGATCCCACTAAGGGGGTGAGGGACTATACAGGGTGACTTTGAAGTTGAGTCATTAATTTTCAGATAATGATTGTAGAAGGAAGATAAACCAAAATATGTGTGTAAAAATAAAAAAAATAAAAAAAAAATGTTACCTTGTTTTATAAAGTATCCTCCCGACAAGTATTTCAGTGCGGACCTGTATTTGATCGTGCGGTCTTGGAGCACCGGCTGGCCCTCCCCTGTGAGGTCTTAAGTCACCTGATTCACGAGCCCTTTGTACTATATACATTAACAAAGGCAAGAGGGGTTCGTTGCACTCGATTTAGAAACCGATTCGCACAAATCCGTGATGCCGCGGCAGCATTTTGTAAAGACTCCCCCCCCCCCCCGTAAATAAGAATCATGTCCTCAAGTTGAGCATTTTCGTAAACATCTGCCATTTTTTATTTCGTTTGAGCCACGCAACAAACACCACTATTCACTCACGCGTTACCGAATGACGAAAAACATCGTGATAAACGTTTCAAATTCTTTCGCTTTTTTGTTTCCGATGCGATGAACCGATATATCCGTTGTTGCCAAACACGAGCACATAATATTATTATTGAGACAGGGCGGTACTCAAACTTCTAAAGGGCTATAACTTTGTTACTTTAATTTTACCAGAAAAATGTTAAAGCAAAAAAACATTTCTTTTGATCAGATCTACTCACTGTGAAAATAAATGACTCAACTTCGAAGTCACCCTGTATATGGCGATAGCAACGTGACGATCAGGAAGCAACAAATGTGAAGGATCAAAAGGAAATATAGGTCGGCTTAATTTCGTATTTCTTGTTGATTAGCCCAAGGTCACAAGTCGCTGTTAATTGTATTCGGGTTAATTATAGAGAAGGTGAGCAAACTTTATATATAGAGGTAGGGCTAGCCATCCGTCTGGGATTCTCCAGACTTGTACCAATTCAGACTGAGTCCGGGAGCCATCCGGAAAGGAATTGTAAAAGGTTTACCAGTTTTTTGGTGTCAGGGGCATCTTGTGAAATGTAAGACGCTTGATCAAAAAAATGTTTTGTTATATACCCCAGAACAAAGGCTCCCATCCCTTGGTACAACGACCTGCATCACCATGTACAAACACATTCGCAACGCCCTGTAAAACCTGCCAGGCGACACCATCGCAGTGCGCGTGCGCACACAGACAATCTGGTGTTAATTTTTCATTTCGCCCGGATACCAATCCGGTGAAGAGTTGAATCTGTGGTGACAGGTGAATCATTGACACAATAACATCTAAGCATTCGACACGGTCATTCAGCATTCTAAAGAAGCGCACTAAATACCACGTACTTTTTTTCATCCATTCCTTTTTGATCTCTGAACTTGAAAATGGATTCTGGTGTAAAATCTCGACCTCCGCACGAGTATCGGTATTTGAATTTATAAAGTTGACCGCCAAATGACCTCCGACGTCATTTACCAGGTCATATATGAGGTCATCGATAAATTGATTATTCGATACCCTAAAACTTTTCTCCGAACCTTTTTTCTCAAAAATGCATGGGTACCAAGCGTTCGGGGTATTAGTGTACTTTTCAGACGTTACAGTAGGTCATGCTGATTGAACCACTTTTGACCACTTGACCTCATGTATAAAAAATGGATGTGGATTTAAATTGTTGAGCTTGACACAAATTTGCTGTCGAAAATTGTGATTGCTATTTGAATTTACAAACTTGACCTCCAAATGATTTTTGAGCTCATTGTCTAGGTCACATCTGGGGTCATCGTCAAATTGTTTTTTTGATACCCTGCTACCTTTTTTCAAAAAATGTGTGGTTGCCAAGTTTTTGGGGTGCTCGGGTATTTAATAGATTAGGATTTTGGGTACCTAACCTACCTAGCTATATGACTTATAATTAAAAATTATAATTATAATTTGTTTTCAATCTGATGCCAAAAAGAATAGTATCCCTAATGATTTTTGTCACCGGATTACCTCAGAAGCAGAATTTCATTAGTTTCATTAGTAGTACTTGAGTATTTCATTTGTTATGCTGAAAGTTGAAGTCGATCTTGTCAATTTTTATTATATACAGGGTGTTGGGGAAATAATATTCGTAACTTTAAGAGGTGATTCTTTGCATTATTCTAAGCTAAAAAGTTCATTATAACCTGTGTCAGAAAATTAACCGTTTCGGAGCAAAAACATGCTGAATTTATTTCTTTTTAGTCATGAAATAAATTAATTTTGCACCTCAATAATTTAAATTCATATGCCTAATATCGTAAAATGTATCAATACATCTATTTATTCCGCGAATTAACTGTCTCTAACGAAATAATTTTCTTGCTTATTAAATACAATTTTCCGAAGAAAAACAGACCAACAAAATCTCTCACACAACTGGCAACGTCGTACTCCGCATGCGCTGCATGTATCATCGCGTGTTGTTTGTGATTACTAATACATTTAACTGTAACTTTATGTGATTTACGGATGTTGTTTTTTTTTCTTTTTTTGTGCATCGCATCGTTTAGAATAAGTGACTGATAATCGTGGGAATTGGTGGTGCATATCGCCACGTTCTGTCATTTTTTTAAAGTAAATGTCGATACTGTACTGAAAGCGTTATTAAATAAAAAATATTAGTCACGAAAAATTGCGTAATAGTATTCAATAATTTAAGGCATATTTTCAACAAAAATATCATACAAACGTAAACAATTCGATGAATCAGTTGCGGTCATCGTGCGCTCGTATCGCGGTTGCGTTGCAGCGGTGCCAAATGTTTGAGAAAATTTAATTATTTACGACTCACTTTCCTCGAAAAAGATTGATTTTCTGACATTGAACTTTTTTGCTTAGAATAATGCAAGCAATCACATCTTAAAGTTACGAATATTATTTCCCTAACACCCTGTATTATTACATAAATCGCTAATAAGTTGTTTATATTAATTATAAAGTTGAGGCAGCGAAATACGAGTTGCACTGATTTAGGTGTATATTAGCAAAATAACCGTTGCGCCATTCCTATAATAATAATAATTATTATTTCAAGACGTTGATTAAATTACAGTGTATAGGAACAGACAAAAGTTATAAAGTAGCGCTCATGGCACGTAGGCTCTCTGAACATTGTAACAACAACTATCAGATTGCGATATATATATGTAGTCACCGTTCTTGCGGTAACGTTATCAACGCCATATGAAATAAGTAAACAGATCGAGTCTCCGTAGCATGGGCGGATCTTGAGCGCAGGGGTCGTAATATGTTGTCCTTTACTTCTCATATCGTAGAAAGTATTCCTAATTTCTGCTTTGATGGCATCACTTACATCATCGGTCTTTCATTTTTTGATTTTGTGAGTTTCCCCAGGAGTTACTATTGGCAAACGTTTCTTATTTTCTGGTTATATTCGCTGAACACTGCGCAGACGCATGAAGTGGGTAACAGGGGACCGCTGTTTTCATTCTCTTCCTGAAATATGATTGAAGCGCACTCATACGTAACGACAAAGTTTTCGAGACGGAGACGCACAACTAAAAAACGTATGTCTTTGAGCTTACCGATTAAACGTTCACACACACAGGGGTAGGTTGCATGTGTATGTATCAGGGAGATGGAGGTACATAAAGCGATACTGGTAGTCTTACTTTGACCTGCCAAGAACGGTGACTACAACTATAGTAAGCATACCTTATTATATAGTATATTCAAAGCGGGCCATTAACGCTTGCGCAGGCAGCGACAAGCGAATAGAAGTGATGATCGAGTGCTAACATTTATTTTAACGGAGTATAAATTAGCTTTGAATAGACTTTACATATAAAATCTGGAATAAAGAAAAGTCCATAGCCTAAAAAATAAATATTTATTGTTTAACACTATTTTAAATTCAGAACATTTACTAGTGTCAATATAAGGTCATTGGAGTACCTAACAATGGTTCTGATGGTCTGGAAGCGCGGAATAATCTGGATCTGTCGTATTATTAATATCGATCAGATCAATACCATTTCAGTGAGTCATAAACTCCTCGACTAATTGGATCATTTTGATTTTCGCAGCGGACTTCCGATGACTAGGTATCCTTCGAAAACTATCAAGCAAAGATAAGAGAAATAGCTTATCTGAGTCACCCTCATCAGTCTGTTGGCTACCCTTATTTGTTTCCTGAGCATTCATCTGTATAATATTGGGCTTCTCAATTAGGCTATTTTCTTCCTCAATCTGGTACTTTAGCTCAAAGAATGTTGCTGAGTCACTATCTTCGATCTCAATGTTTTCGGTTTTGATAACATATCCCATCTCAATGGATTCATCGACTTCTCCTTTATCCACAACTATTTTTGGTTTTTTATTTTTGACCTCGCGGTGTGGACGTTTGGACATAACGTCATTTTCTTGAGACATTGAAGAATGTGCCTCTACTTGTCCGTTACTTGAAGCTTCAGACTTCGTGGCGTCGGTTATTACACTCAGAAAATTGAGCCGCCGGTAGTATATGTAGGTGTTTCGTTTGGGGGGAGCTGTTCCTTTACTGATCATGTCCCGTCGACGTACTTCACGGAAATAACTATCTCTGAGGTTTTTCCATTTTTTCTTCAGTTCTGCACCTGAAATAGAGATGTATTAAGGTATTTGCCGATTATACCTGATCATACTAGGTTCTTACTAGAATCACACTGGAACCGTATCCAACACGACAAGTATGGTAAGCATTCTGTATTAGTACAAGAATTTGTGTTTGACATATTTAATCGATTTTTCATCCTCCATAATTCGAGGTTTAACTAATTTCAAATAATGATATTTCAGTGGACTGGGGAAAAAATGAATGACTATAGCACTACTGATGATCTAACTACTCTAAAATAAGTCGGTGAAAACATCCAGGCTCCAATCTATGAGGAAGCCTTAAGCGATGAAACGACTATACATTCACCCCTAAGACAATAGCTGCATTCACTAGCACTACAACTTGTCCAAATCGTTTTTTTATGTTATGGCTTCGATTCCGGTCTCAGAACCGATTTCTTTGATTTGTTCACGATTAAAATTCTTTTTGGTTTCCGCAATACAAAAAATACCGTTTCATCGAATTCGTTGTTTTCGATTCCTGAACCCGAACTTGACGGTTTCGATTCCAACCCTTACGAAAGTGTACCAGGTCGATTTTTAACGAACTGTTAGACAGGCACGTTCTGTTAGGATTCGGATATTGCTTTTGATTTTAATGATTCCAAATCGAGGACGATCTACTATCTGTAATGCATGTATGTTGTGGGTACATTTAACCGTTGGGTGGTTACGGAGATAGAGGCCTGAAACAGGTTGGTACGGGTGCTGATTCTCCCTCGCAATGTCCGATGCAGATTTGAAGGGAAGCGAGGGGGAGCGCCCCCCTAGACGCCCAAATCTGCCATTTTTTTAAATGGAATATATTGCTTACCCTGTAAGACATAAACCGTGAGACGTGCACCTCCCCCTAGTCTCCAGTTGTAATAAGAGCATTTGCTCTCAGAAGCGATGCTCATATTCTAAAACATACAGCTGTCACCACCCTCCCGCTCTTCTATTTTTAATCGCAGATAACTGCCCCCCCCTCAAAGACGAACATATCTTCTGCACCGCTGCGTCTAACCCCCCCCCCCTACACAGATTCTTTACTGCGCCCTTGGTCCAATGTTCTATTGGAAATTGTGCGTATGTTGAACCATCACATTTTCGTGGCAATCAGTTGGTTCAGACTTGAACTTGAAACATTCTATGAGTTGTCGTTTTGTTTTGCGGAGGAGCAATTTACAATTTCTCTTACCACTGTATTACTAAGCCATTTTTTATCTACGTGCGGAGAAGGTGGAGATCCATATATCACACCTACTTCCGCACATTATTTTGAGTTTTTCAAAAGACCATACCACTTTGTTTACCCTCCGTTCGCCTGTCTCCAACACTACTAGACCTATACCACACTGATGAGTTCCTAATCAGCACGAAACAGCTTTGCAACGGTTGGTCATAGTTACAGAGACGGAAAACAATCATTTCCATTTCAATCGTATCTATTTATGCATATTATATGCATCGAAAGCAATTGCTACTTCGTTCTGTGAATACTCAGGATACCGACTCTTTGACAGGTCGACCGTGACGGTGGTACATCTTCTGTGCATAGCGCAATCCATCGAGCAGCTAAGGCAGATGCGTAGGGGTCCTCTGTCAAGTTTATCGTATGAGATGAAGATCATCTTGTCAGATTATTGGTAGGTGGAGGTCTGTTTCCGGTACTACTAGACTTATACGGCATTGCTGAGTTGCTAATGAGCACGAAACAACGCTGTCTGCGGCCAACTCAACCTTCTGTCACCCACCCCTCAAAATTTCTCTCTGGATCCGCCTCTGGGCCCCTAGGTATTATTTGGCTTGGCACTGCCTCATCGTTCCTCTGGAACAACTCGTTTAGAACCGAAACAGCTTTAGCCTGCAGCTGAATCTTAACGCTGTCTGGAATATGCTTTAGCAGATAAGCTTCACTATCCATTCAGATGGCATTCAAGTGCTAGTGAACGCAGCCAATGTCTAGAAGATATGAATAATGGGCGGTCTAATACCAAGAGAATACAAAAGTTAGTTTGTTGCTGAAAATGTTTGAAATCCGTGGCGAAATTAGTTCTGTACTATACTATACAAATATTTTAGAACATTGTAGCCAACGTTGACGCTGAATGATAGCGTATGATATATATATATATATATATATATATATATATATATATAACAACAAGTGGGAAAATAATGGGCAAAATCCGCAAAAAGGAGGAAAGTGGATTCGAGCAGAAAATAGGATAGGTAACCCGAGCGATACGTATTTCTGCTGGTTGGCTTCATCAGGCCCGAAATGAATGCACATATGAAACTACAAAAGTAGATACACATGCCCACACATCCGGATACGGGTGTAACCTGAGGAAACGAAGTTGGAGGAAAAAAAACGACACACGAAGTCCACAACAAGAGCCAACCTACACATTGTAGTAGAGTAGTAGAGATATTTTTAATTATTGCCCTTTCACTTGCTAATGTTAAGCATTACAAAATGCCTCGAGTTCGAAGGCGTCCAAATTATCACCAACTTTGACAGGGGTAGAGTTATTGCCTATCGAGATGTTGATTTGTCGTATCGCGAAATTGGCCGCCGTGTTAATTGTATAGCAATGACGGTAATGCGTATGTGTCGTGTGTGGATGAAAGAAGGTAGAGGAACACGAAGAAGGTCAACTGGTCTACCGAGGCGTACCACAGAGCGTCAAGACAGGCGCTTCAGTCAACTAGCCCTATGAGACCGTTTTGCTACTACGCGTCAGATCGTTGACCAATGGAGACGAAGGTAGACCTGTTTCTATGCGTTCGCTCTATCGCCGTATTCGAGCCTTTGGACTCTTTTCATTTTTCATACTGTCCTCGGTTAGTGCTTCCTCTGACTGCGGACCACTATCGTTAACGGTTGAATTGGCGTAGAAAACGGCAATACTGGGAGGCAGAATGGCATAATGTCATCTTTAGCATCTAGGGACGCACGATGGTCTTAGAAGGGTAAGACGCCGCCGTGGAGAACGGCGTGACATTGAATTTGCTGTTGAGAGGCATAAACACAGGACTGTTGGAGTAATGCAGTGGCCACCCCGTTCACCGGATTTAAATTCCATCGAACAAGTGAGGGAAATGTTGGGGTAGAGACTATACACTTTGCACCATCGCCCACAGACTCTGCCACAGCTAACCCATGAAGTTCGAGTTGCCTGGAATGAAGTGCCACAACCAGACATCGATCATCTCATTTTGTCGATGCCTAGCTGTATATAGGAGTGTACTCAGCTGCGGGGTCGCCCAACACATTTATTTTTGTTCTTACTACTTGTCAATAAAATTTCGTGAGAATGTTATCGTTTCATTCTTGATGTAAGACTACCTCATTGCCAAGTTGAAGAAATTTTTTCTAATGTCACTAAGAATATTTACCTAAGTCAGCTTTTTGGGCATCCCCCATTCCTTCTCCTCCGAGGTCCAGCACAATTTCATCCCATAGCTGTCTCCTAATGTCTAGATCAGAATATTCTTTCAATGTCACATTCCATATCGCAGACCGCTGCTCGATTGCCGCGATCAGCATTTCCGTTTCGTAAGGATCGTTATATCTGTACGCCATCACAACAATCAGCTTGTACGACGTGTAGCGCGCTACTGGTAAACGCCCTGCCGCACGCGGTGAATCGGCGACACGTAACACAGCGCGGCATTGCCGCGTGAGGAGAGCGCTGCAAAATGGCCGACATTCGCGTGAAGGGCAACTGGAGAGAACCCGGCACGAAGCGTAGCGACGTCGATGCGTCAGGGATCGGTGAGCAGCGATGGAGTGGAAAGTCGCGTATAGTGGGTGATATGCATAAAGGTGAGTGGGTTCTCAGAAGTAGCGACTCCACATTGTAGCGAGTAACTACTCCTGTTAGGGAGAGCCTACTCGGTTTTGATATGCATAAAATATTTATCGAGAAACGGAGAGGCTACTCAAGTTCTAATGAAATACTTGAGTAGGCACTCTGGTTTTCGAGTTCCGACTTGTATTTTGTTGTCTCGCCGAATTGGCAATTTTTCTATTGCGAGCAGTTACCACTGTATACCGGTAAACGTTTGTGTCGGTGGTGTTTAGGTCGATTATAATTTGTTCATTTACATGATGTCAACCTATTCTGAAGACCATTCATTTGAAAATCAAACAGTATTTGTTAATATAATTAAACATCCCGGAAATCAAAAATAAACGGCGTAAGGCGGTTGAAGAAATAAAAGAAAAGGTAGAAGCCGAATTAGGAGTTAAATGTAATTGAAAGGATGGGAACAAGAACTGTTCAATTTTCTACAAGGAGAATCAAATCCTAGTATTGCTCGATTGCAATGTTAGTTGTATTTTTTTGTTTTTCCATACAGTAGGTATAAGATGTGATTGAGTATAATATATATATATATATATGTCAATAAATATAAATAGCATATATTTTAAATTTTAGGTGCTGTTGTGGCAGGTTGCCCACAAAAAAGCATTGATTACACTCCAACAGCCTGTGCTGAAAAAGAAACAATCACTGAAAAAGCATCTAGAAGTGCAGGACCAGTACTGAAAGCTACCACAATCAAAGCCGGACCCAGTAAGGAGCCTTCTAAAAAAAGGAAAACGAGGATTAGTGGAAACCGATGAAACACGAGATTTATCAATAACAGAGCTCCAACGTCTCGTTTTACTTGAAAACTAGTGTTTCGGCTCTCTAAGGAACTGCTACTTCACAAGAAAAATATTAATGAATCTGATAAAATTTATCAACTTTAAATGAAAGTGCAGAAACTGGAAATCCAATTTTCATGAGCCTATTTCCAGGATAGAACTGACAGAAATACTTCATGTTTCATAAATGTTATTTTTTATTAATTTTAAGGACTTTCTCTTAACTTACCATTTTGAAAATGTTATTAATTTTGTTATGAGTAATTAAACATCGTATATCTACATAATGTTTAAATTTGGATCATGCTAGATACTTACTTAGACCCGAAAGCCATGAATAATTCTTGACATTGCATCTCTTCTAAATTGACCTCTCTGACATATCACTCCATCTGCATAGTCGGCAGTATGTTGGTTATGGATTTCTTCTTGTTCGCCATCTACCGGTATATAAGCAGCAAAATCTTCATCCTTAAGGTGCTTAGCCACATTATGCAAGATAAAACATCTCATGACAAGGGAGGGCACTTTTTCTGTATCGACGCGTATTTTGTTATGTAGAATGGGAAAACGCTGTTTTAGTTGAACGAAACATCTCTCTATTATAACTCGCTCTATTCCATTTCAAAACGTTGTATATATCAGAATTCTTCCATATCCGAGAGTCGTGTACAGATCCTGGCCAAGAAACATCCACACTTGTGAACTCTTCGTTTGAATTGCACGTTGCTTGTACATTTATACTAGCAAAGTTCTTTCTGTTCACATATTCGTCAGCATGCATAAGCGGCTTCAGAATAGGTATATGGGTGCAGTCGATAGCACCAATAGCTGAAGGAAAATTGAACTTTTCTTGCCACTCATTTTTAGCATTGTGTAGATCTTCACATGAGGTTGGGAATCTAATCCAAATATTCGAATTCTGCACAATGCGTGTTATAACGTTGGTAACGGTTCGGGATACCGTAGATTGATGGACACCAATATCTTCTCCTATGCCAATTTGAAATCCTTTGAATCACCCATATATCGTAAAAAACCCTCATTCTTTCTATATTGCTCAAAGCACCGCCCCTATATTCTTCTGTCTCTCCAAGAAAATTGTTACTTATCCACTCAAATTAACTTTACTAAACCGATATAGGGCCCCATAGTCTACTTCCCTTGATTCCCTACGATCTTTAAACACCTTCGTAGGCTGATAAATAGGCATAAATTCGGCCATTTCGTGAAGACATCCACTTCTTATAAAGCTGAGTATACTACTAAGGTATCTCGCATTTCTTTAAGTATGTACTCAGCGGTCGGAGTGGACGCTCGCTTTTATGCATATAAAAATTAAAGTCGGCACTCAAGGAGCGAGTACAGCCTCACGGAAAGAGTAGAAACTTATGAGTGTGAGCTTCTACTTACATTTTTATGCATATCAAATGGAGTGGCTACTTTAAAAATGCGAGTCAAAAGTAGCCACTCGCCTTTATGCATATCACCCATTGTATCGGCTTTCAAATTGTACCACCTGATCTGACCTAGCCTGAATAAATCTAACTGAGCGACGCTTACGATTTGACACAACTTGATTACAGTATATTCAGATAAGAGATAGACCGGATGTAAACAAAAGGTTCGGGTGATTTTCACGCTAACGCCGCCGTCTCGACGTAAAACAGGAGCCCTCATTGGTCAATTCGCAATTAAATGCCTATGCCGAGCGGCAGAGCAGTCGTATCAAGGCAGAGTCACATTCAGGTTCAGACGTGTTACGTATGTCGTCTGCATCATTGCAATTTGATATTTCTTTGGACGTTTTCGTTTGTTATCTTATTAAGTTGTTGAGTTTGTCGTTGTTATTGTTATACCTTGTTATTGATTGTTATTGTTATCAACTGCTTGCGCAAAATGCCCAGTAGTACAGATACTGCCGATGAAGTTGTAAACTACTGTAGTCCACCTAGGAAACGCTCTAAAAAGACACCTGAGTGCAGAAATAAAAGAGGTCATTTTGAATATATATAAGATCGAGCGCGAGGAGAACGAGGCATCAACCATCAAAGAAATTGTTGTGAAGGTTTCTCACAAAGTTGGGGTGTGTCGCGCATCAGTGTTTAATGTGTTAAGACAATACAAAAAAAATCACACCTTTTCTGAGCCAATGACCAGTAAACATCGCAAAAGTATTGTTAAATCATTGGATGAAGCTGATAAGCATGCGATTAGGAGGAAAGTACATGAATTCTTCTTTAGGAATGAAATACCTACTATAGATAAAGTACTGCAGGAGGTAAATGGAGATACAACGTTGCCAAATTTCAAACGATCAACTTTCCATGCGTTACTGAAGCATTTAAATTTCAAATGGAAAAAACGGGGTCGTAATAGTTTACTACTGGATAGAGAAGAAATTGTGCTATGGAGGAGGGATTATTTAACAAAAATTGGGAAATATAGAAATCAAAACAGGAAGATTTATTACCTTGATGAAACGTGGGTAAACGCAGGACACACTACAAGTAAAGTATGGGTTGATGATTCTGTAACTTCATCCAGGAGGGCCTTCCTAGATGGACTGTCCACCGGATTAAAAAATCCAGCAGGTGAATGCGAGTAATCGACAACAATCGGATATTTTTCAAACCTTGGGAACAAGGTTCTAAACATTAATTCCAGGGGGCAGATAAAACATATTACAAGTAACAAAACTTTTATAACTTTCGATAAAATGCGTGGATGTTTTATTGTCATTTTCATTTGTTAGAACTTTTTTAAGCCATGTTTTTATGTGTTTTAAAGGTTTATAACTTTAAATTAAATTGTGAAGCGCTGAGTAATCATACGACGTTCAATATTCTTTCTTTCAATATGACTAAATAATCCCAATTATAGCAATCTGATACTCATGTCTCAATGTTTTTTCGCTGAATGTGATGAAAACATTTGAAAAAGGTTCGCTTATTGAAATAAATCTACACCAGTTAGTACTTCGATTTGCCATATTGGCAGTGAGGATGGATTTGTTGTTGACGGTCTGTGGTGCTTTGAGTCTAAGAAAACTGGAGATTACCACGAGGAAATGAATGGCGAATCGTTTGAACAGTGGTTTTCAAAAATTTTACCGAACTTAGAGGAAAACGCAATAATTGTGTTGGATAATGCGCCTTATCATTCTCGAAGAATGGAGAAGGTCCCAACAACGGCTTCAAGGAAAGTTGATGTTCAAAATTGGCTCCGCTCGAAAAATATCAACTTTGAAGAAGCAATGCTGAAAGTACAATTATTAAGAATTGTCAAGGATCACAAGGCGGAATATCAAAAATAAGCCATTGACGAAATGGCAGCAAGTCAAAATAAAACTGTGCTCCGTTTACCTCCATACCATTGCGAGCTCAATCCCATTGAGCTCATATGGGCAGAGGTTAAAAATTATATAGCTAAGCACAATACAACTTTTAAATTTTGTGACCTCAAAGGACTTTTCAAAGAAGCACTAGAATTAATAACAGCGCAAAAATGGGAAAACTGTATTAAGCACGTGAAAGACAAAGTTGAAAAGAGAATGTGGGAACTGGACAATATTTTACAGGAACAAGTCGAGCCATTCATTATTGACGTTGGTGCTTCAGGCAGTAGCGATGATGAAAGCTCATCAAGCTCATCTTTCCAATAAAAGATGTCGTTCATCAAATTCGGTAAGTTATAAGTAATTATAAAGCTACTGTATTTTTTAATTAATTATTGACATTTTTGAACCCATTTTGGCAAAACCTATTCAAGAATCTACTTTCTGACAATGTTCAACCATGCACATTTTTTACGTTTTGAACGTTTTAATTTGGTTACATATTTACCTAGAAATCAAAAAATATACTAATCAATATTCTAAAAGCAATTTTAAGAGATATACGATTATTTTTAATTTAGGCTAATTTAAACGCCATTTTGAGATTATATTCGACTGTATTTCACCAAACATCAGGCGGCATCCGAAGCTGGAAATCGAAGCGAAAATTTTGAAACCCTTATGTATATTTACATCATTATATATTTCTTACCCCACCCCCACATGATCCTATATCCATCACCAATCGTATACACATCGAATTGTGCTAATTTACTACAAAGTTACGCAAAGCAGCATCTACTATCTAAAATATGTACTGCGTGACTCTTAATACGTCCCTGCCGAATGTTACAGCGTTAGATGATCACGTGGTCTTGTTTATGTCCGGTCTATCTCTTATCTGAAAATACTGTAGAATCTTACCTCTACCCTTCCCGCTGTTAAGACGGATTTTCGTCGAGCTGGTGTCCTAAGTTGGCGCCAAATTGACGTTTTTGAATGTTTGACGTTCATAATTGAGGTTAGGTAAATATCTTTAAAGTTTGTCAATAATTTCCCATAGTCTCTATTTAGTGATTAATTATGGAGGAATACGAATCAAATTATATCATTAATAATGATAAAATCACTTTATCAGAGTCTATGGATGGAAGTGATCATTTATTTAAAATCACCTGAACTCAGCAATCGGGCTCCGAATGTCCCAAAATAACCCACAGAGACTGCCGGCGTCACATATGAATCAATTAATTTCTCCATCCTTATCGGCAATAATTACTGAGCCCGTAAGCCGTTAATAGAAATAGGGATACATGTTCAACGCATCTTTATAAATATGGCATACCTACGACATGAATATAAAAGTACAAGTTATGGTTGTAAATCCATGCAGTACAGTAGAATAAAGGAAATACTCAGTGAATGCTCACCTTTCGGGTACACCCATTGGCACCGCGACATTGTAATTAGCTTCACGACACGCACTACTTGATCTCTGATGCGACCTTTACACCCATCATATGACAGTTTATCCTGGAAATAGGTGCACAGAGATGGAATCGAGCGTATAACATGAACTGGCTTAAGGGCCGTCGCGTTGAGTGACACTAACCAGACTTGTAAACTGTCTGGAAAGATTTCGTATGCTACAGGGTTGAACAAGCACGCAAAATTTGTTTGAGATATTTCATGATTACAATTAAAACAATATATTCAACACACAATAACAATGAACTTTTTGAAGCATTTAATACTATATTATTTTATGTATATAGTAATAGCCATGTATATAGTTTATAGTATTATATACAGTGTGCCCCAGATTTGTTTCTCTATACAGGGATATCGCCTCCTGTTATACATACAGCAAAGCTAAATGGGGAAAGTTTAAGAGGAAGCTTAGTGCATTCGATAGCCGGCTTCAGATTTACGATCTGTCAATTGGTTTTGGAAATATCGGCGAAAACTGAAAATGTCGAATTTTGTTTTTTGCCTGTCAAAATGTGACATTATTCGGACATTTTTTTGAGAAAAATAAGACAGCATGTATGACATGTCTCAATCGTCTTTTCTTTTCCAGCAACCCGCCTCAACATCTTGTAAAATGTTTATTTTTTCAAGTGTAAAATAAATTTACGACAATTTTTCTGACTAGTTTTTTTATCACACTCACAGTTGGGAATTTGTCCCAGAACATTTGACTTTTTATGCCTTACTCATTAATGTTATTTTCTGACAAATAAATCATGGCCTCCTTAGAAAAAAAACTAATACATAACATTACGTTATTTCGGTGCTACTCCAATATTTTATGCACTTGTGAGACAACATTAGACTGGAAATTTGACACTCTTTTCAAAAATCTAATATTGTAATAATAATAATAATCATCCGGCTTTATTTATACAAACTATAAAAAGGCGAAGTGTCGCTAAAAAGCGTTTTTCAACTTCACTCAACAAATATTTGTGAAGATTTTCTAATCCCAATGAAAACAAAAAAGTTAAAAAAACCTGTAACTAGTCCCTATTCATGGCCATGGTCTACTTACTGGGCAATGAAATCAGGGATATAATGCTTCAATCTTCTATTGAAATTCATGACTTTATTGTCTTTCGAAGTATTCTCCACGAAGATTAATACACATCTGCATGCGCTCGAACCAATTTTCGAAACACTTATTCCACTCGTTTGCTGGCAGATCCAAAACGGCATTTTTTAAATGCGTCAACTGCTTCTTCTGGTGACTGGAACCTTTGACCACGCAGTCTGTTTTTAATTAGTAGTAAAGAAATCGTTAGGACTTAGATCGGGACTATATGGAGGATGGTCCAATAATTCCACGTTTTCTTCCGTTAAATACTGCCTTGTTTTTTGGGCTCTGTGCGAGCTGGCATTGTCTTGGTGAAGGATGATTCTTCTTTCGGGTTGATTTTTCGTAGCTCGGTGATGACTTTTGGCAGACAAATGGTGGTATACCAATCCGCAGTAACAGTTTTTCGCTCATTAAGAGGAAATGTTGCAATATGACCCGCTTTTGACACAAATGTCGCGACCACCTTTTTCGAAACGGATGACTTTTGTTGGCTTTTCTTCACCTTGGAACACCCAAACAGCCGACTGTCGTTTATTTTCTGGTTCATAACAGTAAATCCACGATTCATCACCACTTACAATGCTGTACACATTTTTTGAGTTTCCGGAATTGAAACGGTCAAGCGTTTTTTGACACCAATTAACCCTGGCTGCTTTCTGCTCTTCAGTCAACAGGTGGGGTATCCAACGAGAAACTAATTTTCTTACTCCTAATTCTTCATGTAAAATGTTTTGAATTGAGGTCTTTGAGATCTTCAAGGATGCCTCAATCTCGCGATATGACATATGTCTATCGTCAATGATGAGTTTGCGCACAGCATTGACGTTTTCCTGGGTGACTGCCGTTTTTGGTGCACCCACCCTGGGATCGTCGCTAAGACTCACCCGTCCACGTTTGAATTCTCCATACCAACGAGAAATTGTTGACTGATGTGGCGCATCGTTGCCGAAAACAGACAGTAACGCAGCCAGGCACTCTTGTTGCGATAATTGTCTCTGAAAGTTGTAATAAATTGTAGCGCGAAAGTTTTCTCGGTTGAGTTCCATTTTTCTAATGACTTGGTCACACTTAAAAATTCACTGTAGTGAGAACACTGCACGTATTGTTGAGAAACTTTGAATTTAAGTTTACTAAAGAGTAAGGTTAAGATTCAGTACTGACGTTCGATCCGCGCGGCCTACTAGGTTTCTATATGCAACACTTAAAAGACATCTCTCGTACTGTAGTGTATGCTTTATAAGCTGTCTTTTTCTTGTTTACACAAAAGAATGCTCTTGATTATATGAATAAAACATACAATGCAATAATGCAATTTTGCATCATTTTAATGGTGAAAATATATCATTCTTAAGTAGCCATTTCTTTTATTTCTGATAAATATTCCCAGAACTATACCACCATAACTATCATAATTTCTCCATCTAGTTGCAATGTTGCCAAATCATGGATAGTTGTCGGTTAATATTATACTAAGTGACAAAGTGACATATAAATCCGAACACCCAGTTTAAATGGTTTTATTTTAATAAAATTTTGTATAAGTACTTAATGAAGCATAATAAGTAAATGATAAAAATTTAAAAATGATTGCACTGCTTTAAAGCCCTTTGACCTTTAATAATGTGTGGATGCACCCTGATGTGCTACGCATTCTCCAACGCCTAGGCATGCTTCTGATCAGGTGGTCAATGTCCTCCTGTGGTATCTCATTCCAGGCAACCACCAACTCCTCTCGAAGTGCTTCTAGAGTCTGAGGAGAACGTTGCAAATTGAGCAATCTCCTACCCATCATATCCCACACGTGCTCAATTGGGGATAAGTCGGGAGATCTTGGTGGCCATGGTAACAATGTGACATCATTATGTTGAAAGAAGTCTATTGTGACTCTTACATCATGTGGTCGGGCATTATCTTGTTGGAAAGTTGGATCTGCCAGGGTGTCAAGATAGGGTAAAAGATGGGGTTCTAGAACTTCGTGGATATAACGCTGCGCGTTCATGTTACCTCTGATGAAGATTAAAGGTGACCTGGAACCATAAGCTATAGCACCCCAAAGCATAACTCCAACAGTGTGATGAACATGTCTTTCAACAAAAAACTGTGGATTCCTCCTTTCACCACGTCGCCTTGTAACCCTGGCACGACCATCGTGCATGCCTAAACAAAATCGAAACTCGTCACTAAAGACAATACTGTTCCATTCCTGTTCCCAAAGTGACCGTTGTCTGCACCACTCAAGGCGATTACGTCTGTGTTCTCGAGTTAAAGGGAGGACCAAGTGTGGCCGGTATGAAAACAAGCCAAAACTTCTCATTCGTCGGTAAACACTTCGCATGCCAATAGGTCTTCCGTGTTCTGCAAACCATTCATTTGCAATGGACCTGGTAGTGGAGAAACGGTCCCTTAAGGCCAATAATCTTAGGCGGCGATCTTCACGGTCTGTTGTTCTACGGCGGCGTCCAGTGCCCCTTGCTCTTTGCGTACGGCCTTCTCGAAGCCATGCCTGACAACACCTAACCACAGTGTCTACACTTCTTTGCACTCTAACTGCAATTGCCCGAAAAGAAAGTCTAGCTTCCCGAAGTCCCACTATACGGCCCCTATCAAACTCACTAAGTTGACGAAATCGTACAGGTCTCCGTACTCTAGGCATCGTAACCGATCGTAAAGGATGTCAAGAACCAAAATCCGCCAACGTTGATTCTTTACTGCGGCTGAAATATTCATTTTTAGAGCGTTAGTGAATTAAAAAAAAAGCAGTATAAAAACCGGAATGTCCAACTGATAAGGCTGAAAATTTTTTCACTTGTTATTTACAGTAAGATAAATACATTCACCAACTTTTATTAAATTAAAACCATTTAAACTGGGTGTTCGGATTTATATGTCACTTAGTATAGTAAAATTTCGTCCGCGAATTAAAATTTGATTTGGTTTGTCAAATTCTTACTTTTTAGGGCAGAAATGTGCAAGCGGCATATGATTGACATGAAAATGGGATTTGGAGGTGTGGTCGGCAGGTTTTGCTGTACTAAATCTCCTGCCCTACGATAGCGTTAGCCAAAGGCACTTTTTTGAAGTATGCTGTATGCCCTTCACAAAAATACTTCGGTTATTTTATTCCTATATTATAGTTATAATTAATTTACTATTTGTATTTACTTGAAGAATTATTTAAAGTGAAGCTGATGTCACAAAATATACTCAATTTAAGTGTAATATATATGAGAATTTGCTGAAAAAGAAGCTGTTGGCAGTTAGTAAATAATGAAAACACAAATAACAAAGATAACGTTTGAGTCAAAAAAATATATTTTAGAATGTGTATTATTGAATAAGGTTTTTGATGATTTGATGAAATGGTCTTTGATCATTATTCAACCATAATGTTGGATGACGATATGTTGGGTAGATCTGGCCACGTGGTCCAAATCCATGAAGGCAATTATAACCGAGGTCGCAACGTCAAAGGCCATTGGGTACTAGGAATGATTGAAAAATCGAGCAGGGACGGTGGAGGTGTAAAAGATGAATACCGAGCCCCTTATTCCCATAATCCAACGATATGCTTGTCCTGGATCTGGATATCTTTCGCGTAGGCATTGTCGCGATCGCGGAATTGATTTTTCGCGTTTTTATTAGAACCAATTAGATCTGAATGTCAGATCTAAATGCTTCTAATAAAAAGGCACAAATCGCCTTTTCAAGGCGAATTCCTAATCACGTTTATTTATTATTATTATTATTATTATTATTTATGATTTACTGAAGGGATTGGCGAGTTGTTATTGATCATTTCCACGTTGTACTCCCTGGTAACCATAATTAGAGTATTTTTATATGCAATGACCGCTGGTGTCTTTTGTATTTTTTGTGTCACGAGAGCCGCTGGTGAATTTTCCACTGTTTATGCACATACTGTTCAAAATTCTATCTAATTTTCAGTAAATATTGGGACTACTTCTTATAAAACAAGCCATTTACAATTAAGACTTTTATCTTGCAAATAAATTAATTTTTTTATTACGTATTTCTCCCAAAAAAGTACAATTAGGCGACAATGGACATCATTTGTCTTCTGTCAAGAACTGAACGTTATAAAATTGCCATTGAGAATTGTTACTTCTTTCAAACATTTATTATAAATACGTGAAAAAAATGTTTAAGGAATTTCAAGAAGACATTGGAAAACCACAACGCAACACCTCTACACAGTTTACCAAGTAAATACCATCATTTACGGTTTGTATTTTGAACTGTTATTTTAGCTTATTACACGGCTAGTTTGAACCTTTTTTGAACATTTCTACTGATTTATCCACTTTAAAAAAAAACATGAATTTCGTTCTTTATGCACTACAGTATAATCTTACCCAGCTATTTTATCTCTTCAGTTCCGATTTGTTTTGCTGGAATGAAACTTAGCGTGTAGTAAATACCAATTCATTGCTTTGCAAAAATAGTCCCCAACAGGTACCGATGCACTGGAAGAACCTGATCACAGCGAGTTGCATACCTCACAGAAATAGATTTGCATCCTCAAGTAAAAGTCAAACATAGATCTGAATTTTATTTATAACTATACAAAATTATCATCGTATTTAATACCAGACGTGGAATTCTCGGTGGATGATAAAGCTTTTATCTCAGCATTTCCAATTAAATTAGCTACATCCATGCGTAATTGTGCCTGAACTGATCTAGGTAACTTCTGCACGATTTTAGACATTGCAGCAAAAAACAGATCATTTTCGTTTGCGTCTTTAATATCTGTGGAATTTTCCCTCAAATTCTCGGCTAATTCTTTCAAGATTGCTAATCGTTCTTCAGCTACTTCTAATTTTCGTTTCTTCTTGTCAGGTTCTTGAATATCATCAATTGAAGCTTCAGGCTCAAATGAATTTAAGGTAACTGGTTCAGGCGATGAAGCTTCACGTTCAAATGAATTCAAAGTCACTGGTTCGGCTTCAGTTGTCTCGAGTCTGCTATTCTCGTCCTCTTCACTGACACTAACGTTTTCTTGACTTGTGTGAGAACACTCAAGACATGCTCTGAAAAAAAGGTATCAATAAGATTCTTTCATAAAAAAGGAGTGGATTCCCAGTCATATTACCAAATACCAAATAATAGTGATGCGCTTTCTAGTTTATTTAGATGGACTAGGTCAGTTCTAGGAAGAAAACCGCTTCGGAACACCTTGTGCTAAATGCTGCACGTAAACTCTCGCTCATACAGTAGATGTACCTAAGATGGACGAAATCGGAGGAGGAGTAGCATGAGCAATAGCAAAAAGGTGATCTATATAGAGTGTTCTTCAAGTTGGGACCTTCCTTAATACAGCGTAGACTTCATGTAGCAATAAGCAAATTTTCCTAGTAATAAAAATACCTAAATCCTAAGATGGGCCAGCCCGGTCCATCATTTCCGGCAGCACAGGCACATGAAAGTGACGTGACAAACTGGCCATGGATTGACGAGGAATCACGAGTGATGTAAAAGTAACGTGCAAATGACCTCCTAGTGCCACGTACCGATTATGTCATATGTCAATAATACATCAGTTGCTCAACGTGAAGATGACGTTTATTATTTATAATGAATAACCAGTTTTAGCTTCTTCAAAAAATCATATTACCAGGAGTGCAGTCGGAGCACCATAAGTTATAAATTGTAACACTGGCTCGGTACTGCTTGGCGAAAAACGACCTATTACTACTCATCCCTCATTTTATCAGTTTACAAGACGTTTGTGGTGGAAAAACTACGGTAATGTTGCCATTTTTACATCCCATGAGCTATGAAACAAACACTACGGCAACACACATGGTAATACACAACGTGCTAGTGCATTCAAGTCATGCAGGCTTGGAACTGTTTTCAATTCAAAATGCCCTATTTTTCTAAAGTTTCGTGAATACTGAGTACACGGAAGTTGGAGCAATGAGACGCGGGTACAAATAGCGGGATTACGTAAGGAATAACATCGATTGGTCGATTGCAGCGTTCCGTGAGTCTCGTTCTTGTCACTTGTCACCGGATACCGCGTCGCCATACGTAAACACATTTTCAAGAATACAAAACACAATGAATAGCTAACATATTATATGTATTTTTTTGTTTTGTATATTCTTTCTGAATGTTGTATTCAATAAGGTAATTTTTCATTCGTTTTGCAGTCACACTTATTCTTAAAAATTATAAAACATATATCAGAACGCTAGCAATATAAAAGAGAAATAGAACATTATACGGTTTGGCAATGCCAAAAACCAGCATGATATAAAAGTTAGGCACAGGGTAATGTCGCAGCGTAATGGCAGTCGGTCTTTCTGGACGCTGGTCAAGCAGATTGAAAAGAACTTCTCACACAGTAGCCTTCCACCACTTACGTGTCAGGATGGAACTATTGTATTCGACTCAAAGGCCAAGGCGGAAGTGCTAGCCAAGATCTTTGCTGCCAACTCCACCATGGACGTCCCCACCAACGCCCAAGTGCCGTCAATTCAAAGGGTTCCCCACACTATGCGGGAGGTAACATTCAGGCATAAGACCGTAAGACGAGTGCTCTTGTCGCTCGACATCAACAAAGCTTCTGGTCCGGACTTGATTCCTGCCATTGTACTGAAGAGATGTGCAGCGGAGCTTGCTCCAGTTCTTTCGCGTCTCTTCCAGATATCTTATGAATCCGGCACCTTCCCAGAAAACTGGAAATCTGCTCATGTACAGCCCATCCCAAAAAAAGGATCTAAGACCGACCCTTACAACTACAGGCCTATAGCTCTGCTTTCTGTTATAAGTAAAGTGATGGAGAGGTGCATAAATCGCGAGCTTCTGGACTATCTCGAACGTCACAGCTTGATTAGCGACAGGCAGTACGGTTTCCGGCACCAACGATCCACAGGAGACCTCCTAGCTTACGTCACGCAACTGTGGAGTAAACTCATCCAGTCTCATGGTGAGGCTCATGTCGTTGCTCTTGACATCACGAAAGCGTTCGATCAGCTGTGGCACGCTGCCCTTTTAAGCAAACTTCCATCCTATGGCCTCCCAGAAAACCTTTGCAGATGGATGGCTGACTTTATCTCTGGTCGCAAGATATCCGTCGTAATTGACGGGTTCTCCTCTTCATCCCACAACGTCAACGCGGGTGTTCCCCAGGGATCGGTGTTGGCTCCAACACTGTTTCTCTTACATATCAACGACCTCCTTTCCTGCACGATCAACCCAATCCACAGCTTCGCTGATGACAGCACTCTACATGCAGGCATTCAGAGTGACAAGCCGATCTCTGCGGCTGAGCTGGAAAAAAGAAGACTAGCGACGACTTCTTCTCTGACAAAAGACCTGGAGGCTATCAATGCTTGGGGACGCAACAATCTTGTACAGTTCAATGCTTCCAAAACACAGTACTGTACTTTGACGAACAAAAAGCGTCCTAGCGCTCATACAGTTTCGATGGACGGCCGAGTTCTACCAAAGAGCCATTCATTTCGGCTGGTCGGAGTCCAGATCACCGAGGACCTGATCTGGCACGAACACATCTCTTCAATAGCTGCAGCTGCTGGGAAAAAGCTAGGCTATTTGTTTAGGGCTAAGAAGTACTTTTCTCCGCATGACCTTCTCACTCTATACAAGGCCCAGATAAGGCCTAGCCTCGAGTATTGCTCACACATTTGGGGTGCTGCCGCCCCGACTACATTGTCCATGCTCGATGCTGTCCAGAGGAGGGCGGTCCGACTGATCGATGACTCTTCTCTAACAGACAGTCTCGGCACTCTTTCGCACCGGCGGGTCGTCGGCGATCTAGCTCTTTTCTATCGCTACACCAACGGGCTTTGCTCCTCAGAGCTCTCTTCCATGATGCCGCCGCGCGATGTGCCTGCCAGACAGACCCGCCTGACTTCGGCGTCCCATCCTAACCGTGTCAAACTTCGTACATTCAGAACTGGCCGATACGACCGATCCTTTGTCCCGAGGGTGTCTAGATTGTGGAACAGTCTACGGGAGGAAGCTTTTCCCAGTTCTACTAACCTTAGGCAGTTCAAAAATCGTATTAACAAAATTTCCTTGGGAACATCATGGCAGTCGCGGTGTTTCCGACAATTATTTATCTGCCCGCTGACTGGGTCCATTTTGAATCAGAAAGATTGATTCTAATTTAACAAAAACATCTTACACATAAAAATATATACAGGGTGTTTCAGTTTATTGTTGCATAACTTTAAGATTCGATAGAACTTTTAAAATTAATGCAATATTTGATGTATAACAGTGAAAATTGGTGTACAAGGGTTTTTTGGTACGACAAAACGAACCGTGGGCATAGTTTTACTGTAGCCGCTAGACTGCGCTCTCTACTGTACCTGTAGTGTATTAAAATGACCTTAGTGCAATTCTTCGCACTTTTCAACATAAAAAAGCTCTCTTGTGAATTTTCGTTATAGTTAGCCGTTTTTGAGATATTTTGATTTTTATGGTTCGATGCATTTTTAATTATTTATGATAAAATAACGTTAAAAAGTCAGTATCTCGATAATTTTTAGAAGTAGGCTGTGCCTGCAAATATTTTTGAAATTGAAAGCAGAATAAGGTTAAACGTCAATTAGTTGACAGTTAGTTTTGTTGTCTGTTGAAACCTGAAACGTTTTTTTTTCTTTTACCTGTTTTTTTTTGTAAGTTTTATAAAAATGCCATTTTTATTCTCCAATCAAGAGTTAGCGGATATTCATTTTGTGTATGGCTTTGTAAATGGAAACGCAGCAAAAGCAGCCAGAGAATACGCACGAAGATTTCCAAACAGACGACATCCAACTCGCTCAGTATTTGTAAGAGTGCATCGCCAAATAATTAAAAATGGTTTTGGAAATCTCCAAAGGGATCAAAACATAAATTTTCATCAGCGCAGATTTACCTGTATGATTCTGCGTGAGTTTGATAGAGATCCGACCACAAGTGTTAGGAGAGTTTCTGGTGCCTTGGGAATTTCAACAAGCCATGTTCACCGTGTTCTTAGAAATGACTATAGACGTCCTTACCATTTGCAACCTGTGCAAGGACTACAGCCAAGGGACGGACAACGAAGAATCACATTTTGTCAGTGGATTCTTGATAGAATTGATAATAATAGGGAGTTTTTAAGTAACGTTTTATGAACCGATGAGTCATGCTTCACTAGACGTGGAGTGGTAAATTTTCATAATCAACATATTTGGTCGCATGAATATCCGCATGCAGTTCGGGAAAGAAATTTTCAGCATGAATTTAGTGTGAACGTGTGGATTGGTATCTACCGTAATCGACTATTTGGACCCTACCTTTTGCCTACAAGGTTAAATGCTGCGACCTTCTTGAAATTTTTAAAGGCTGAACATGCAAATATGTGGGATGATGTTATGTTAGATTTAAGAAGATTGGCCTGGTTCCAGCTTGATGGTTGTCCAGCTCATTATTCGAGAATAGTTAGAAACTGGCTGGACGAAAATTATCCAGAAAAATGGATAGGCCGTGGAGGACCAGTCGCCTGGCCTCCACGATCCCCTGACCTAAATTCATTAGATTTCCTTGTGTGGGGATTTCTAAAAGAAAAAGTGTACCAGACTCCCGTAACCACAAGAGATATGCTAATAGACAGAATCAGGAATGCATGTGATAAAATAAGGCCTTATTTGAATAATGCTATACCACGTTCGATCATTCGTAGATGTGAATTGTGTATTGAACAATTGGGTTTACATTTCGAGCAACTACTTTAGATTTTGTATGTTTGTCCTAACTATCCAATAGCATTTTAGTTGTAAATAATTAATTTAATTTGTTAAAAATAATATTGGAAAATTAAACAAATTAATATTCTGTTTTTTGTGTTTATTTGGAGTTAGGCATTATTGCTGTGTTTAAAAACACAATCTAAACGATCATCTTAATTACTTGTAATGCCCAAATCGAAAATGTAAAAAAAATATTATTTTCCCATAAATAATAAAAAATGCATCGAACCTTAAAAATCGAAATATCTCAAAAACGGCTAACTATAACGAAAATTCACAAGAGAGGTTTTTATGTTAAAAAGTGCGAAGAATCAGCTTTTTTATTCAAAAAGCAAAAAATTGCACTAAGAAAAATTTTTCGGTCATTTTAATACACTACAGGTACAGTAGAGAGCGCCCTCTAGCGGCTACAGTAAAACTATGCCCATGGTTCGTTTTGTCGTACCAAAAACCCTTGTATACCAATTTTCACTGTTATACATCAAATATTGTTCGAAATATTTTAAAAAAACTATTTTAAAAAGTAAATTTAAACACCCTGTATTTCGGAAGCCACGCATTTTTCGACCCATGTTTATATAGACTTTATTATTAATTTTAAAAGCTCTATCGAATCTTAAAGTTATGCAACAATAAACTGAAACACCCTGTATAGTATAATTCAATAAAGATAACCTCAAAAATACGTCGTAACAACGACCTATAGTACACGTACATAATTTGGAACAATCACCTTAGTTGGCCAAATTTCGACGTCATTATTACGTGTTTGTACTAGCTGGGAACCAACGTGAAAAAGTACGACATGCATCAAAATCGTGCGCCTCGATATGTGTAGGGCAACCTATTTACAAATCGGATTTGAAAAACGGTACATTCCTACAGCAATAACGTAGTTCTCGATTATATGTTAGTTTTTTACCGTGAGAGTCTTCAAAATGCTACTGGTACTTCGCGAATGTGTTCAGATCGTTCTCCTGAATGCTTCCGTAGGGAGCTGCGTGGATTTATAATATCGTGCAAAGGACGCCGAGGTGAACAAAGTAGAAGACCTAGACAAAATGTTGCAAGTAATCAAACGGCTTCAACTTCATGCGCTATTAATAAACAAAAAATTTGACGTTATTCTTATCCAAATAGATAGATGGATTTTTACTAAATTTCTTTTTACGTTTTCGCTGATGTGGTGCCTCATATTAGCCTTGCTATTTCAAACGTAGTTGTTTCTGAAAAGGAAGGTTCCAACTCTCAGGACAACACGTATATGTAAGAAAGAGAGACATAAATACCTTCGTTTTTTCTGAGTGATACCGTCAAGGAATGTCAGATTTTGTGCCCGCTTCCTTGCAGCTTGACTGCTTGTACCTAGATTCGGCTTCCCTCTACGTCTGATATAGTAATCTCTAACATACGTCCAACGCTTATTGCATTCAGCTCCTGAAAAATTGAACATATGTTGTCAATCGTTTTCATAAACAGTGATATTTGAAATATATTTTAAAGTAGCCTAGAATTCGGTTTATTCAAAGCGGACTCTTTAATGAGTTTACAAAAGTTGGCAATCTTTCTTCCTGAACTTTCACGTGAGCGCGAACCATAGTACAATAAAAATGACCTACGTTGAGATATGCTCATACTTTTCCCGCCAAAGCGAGATTATTTTGTGCTTGTTTCGACATCGGTGTCGCATGCTACATTTTCTTGCATGCGATACTGGCATTTTATTTTTGTGATTCTTGTCATCGATACAGTAACCCTCTGTTGCGCGAGTCAGTGGGCTACGCAATCGAGCAAGTTCGCAAGCACAAAAGGCCGCAGCTTGCACTATAATTAAAAACAATTCGTGAATTTAGAACATCCATTTTGACAAAATTCTCAGAAAAACCAAATATTTTTACACCATATCAAAATCTGTCAAGTGATTTTAACAATGGCTAAATATATCGCTGCCTCTCAAGAATAGTTGACTATTTTATCAGAAATAAGGACATTTGCAATTGATTCAAAGTTTTCACCAGAGATGACGCTAGTGTCGTTGTTCGTTAATATTGATTTTGGGGTTGTGTCATGAATAATGTCATATTGCAGTTGCGGCTTGACTTTCAAAGCGTATACATACATTTTTCTCAAGAATAACGTCATATTATACCGAAGTAGTCTAATAACCGATCGTGGTAATCATGAATAGTGACAGAAAGTGCATTGAGACTATCTTCCTACAACATAAAAATTGTGAAAATGAGTCATTCAAACTATCCGATGTTAAAATAATAAAGGTAGAATCTCAATATTCTGGAACATTTTTCTACAATGATGGTATTTACTTGGTAAACTGTGTAGAGGTGTTGTTTTGTGATTTTTCAATGTCTTCTTGAAATTATTTAACCATTTTTTTCGCGTATTTTCAATGAAATCAAAGGTTTTGCGTTTATAAGAAATATTTGAAAGTACAAACAATTCTCAATGGCCATTTTATAACGCTCATTTCTTGACAGATAAGATAAATGATGTCCAGTGTTGCCAAGTTGTACCTTTTTTAGGAGAAATACGTAATTAGAAATGAGTTTATTTGCAAAATAAAAGTCTTAATTTATTGTAAATGGCTTGTTTTATGAAAAGTTGTCCCAATATTTACCGATGAAATTTTGAACAGTATGTGTCTAAACAGTGGAAAATGCACCAGCGGCTTGCGTGACATAAAAAATACAAAAGGCACCAGCGGTCATTGCATATAAAAATACCCAACGTCGATTTGGACCACCTCGCCAGGTCCACTCAATATATCATCGTCCAATATTATAGTTAAATAAAGATCAACGATCATTTCATCAAATCATCAAAAAACTTGCAATGTTCTTTGTTCTGTTTTCATTGTTTAGTATTTTTTATTTTTTATTTTATGATTTGCAACAGCTACTTTTTCAGTTATTTCTCATATATATCACATTTAATTAGGTTCATTTTGTAACATCAGCTTCACTTTAAATAATTCTTCAAGTACATACATTCAAAAAATAAATAGATTACAACTATAATATAGGAAAAACAATAACCGAAGTACTTTTGTGAAGGGCATAAAGCATTCTTCAAAAAGGTTTCTTTAGCTAACGCTATCGTAGGGCACAGGGTCCATTTAGTACATAAAACCTGCCGGCCACACCTCCAAATCCCATTTTCATGACAATCCTGTGCCGATTGCACATTTTTGGGATAGTATATACATAAGTAAGAATTTGTCAAACCAAATTACGGTATATTACTATCCATGATTTGGCAACATCGCAACTAGATGGAGAGAATATGACAGTGACGGTGGTGTAGTAATGGGAATCATTATCTGAAATAAAAGAAATGGCTCCTTAACAATGAACTTACAGTGTATGTTATATTCATATAATTTTGAACAATCTTTTGTATAAACAAGAAGAAAACTTATACAGCAGCATTCTATACCACAGTATTAGCATCCAAAATACAACTTTGAAGTTCTATAAAATAGCAAGCAGAGGGTTCCTTAAAGAAAAAATGATATTTTCGTGCAAGTTACATCCTAATCTTCCATTTTAAAATAAGAAATGAGATATTTGCGATATGCGCTAAATGAATCTGAAAGTTCAAACCTTATTTAATTGATAATTTTTCTAAATCCAAATTATTAACTTTATCTTCAGTTATCCGAAATAGTTCTTCAAAAAATATTAAAAATGAATCTCCTGAAAAAAATCTCTTTTTTGAATAGTGTCACTATTCTTGAGAAACAGCGATATGTAGTTTATAACAGTGCGTAGAGGAAAGGAACCAAATTTGAGACAAGCGCCTAATTTGAGACAATGGTGTAACTTTGTATCATTGTAGCACCATCTTCTAGTGATACCAAAAAGTTGTGAACTAAGACGCAGTAGTATCCTACATGTGTTTACAGTTTAGTTTTGCACACGGTTTGCTGTGACATCACAACTTGTTACTTCTTGAGAGTTAAAAATATTTTTAATAGTGCGAGAAAAGTGATTACTCAAATTAAGGTAAGTTATTTAGAACAATTGTCTGATATAAATATAGTATTTTACAAATACCTTATTTATTTTCTTTTACAATATTGTGTATAGGTGTATAACCTAAATATGCTTGTGTAAACTTTTTAACGGAAAATTCCAAATTTTCCTCAAAACCCTCAAAACGATTCGGATAGATACCTCCCCCCTCCAGTTCAAGTTCAGAAACCAGCGGAAGCCTTAAGTTCGATGATTTATCTTACGAAAGCAACATGAAAGCGATGCTGAATGTTTATTTTGTACGGGTCGATTTTCCGAAGATAAGAAGGGTGAAAATGGGCAAAATACAGCCATTGAGTAGATGGGCACATAAAGATTGTGAAGAAATTACCAATGAAATTTTCATTTTCACTTTCTGCAAAAGAAAGGGATTTTTTGACTAGTATCTCAAATTTGAGAACCAGCTGTAGATTCACAAAAATATTTACTTTCTTAAAATATACTTTTTGTCTGTAAAAAATACATTTAATATTATTTTTTTATTTTAGAGTATGCTAGGAGCATCAAATCGCAAGTTTATTTATACGCTCGTTTAAAACAACAAGTACTTTATTTTTCCTTTTCAAAAAAAGTATCTCAAATTTGGTTCCTTTCCTCTATAGCTACACTCTTCCATGATAAGAACATTTCTATAACGCACTATAAGCATTTTGATGATTGGTTGTTGAGTTATAAGCGATTTAATGTACAAAAAACCTCAACTTTGACAACCTGCCAGTCCGCCATTTTGATAGATAGCGATTTTATATTCTAAGGCCATAAGACCATTTCAGTTAAAGAAAACATTTGGCACCCAGCCCCCATCTCAAAATTTTCAACTGCCACTTTTACGCTAAAATATAGTATTTATGCATCTTTGATCCTCCCGACTTTAAGTTTGCTAACTTGCACCATGTCAATACGAAAAGAAAAAAAATCGATTATCCCCAACGTTTGTCTGTCAAATGAAGCCACATGTATTTGAAATTCTTCTTTAATGTATACGTTTGACCATCTTCAGTACATGACACTTTTTGACATTATTTTATTCATCTGTCTTCCAGCTGATACTTTGATTTTTTTTTCTTTTTATCTTCAGATTCCTATACAGAGCGTTGCTACAATATAGTTTGAAAGGTCCTCAACATGCCGAGATTGCGCGACGCCATCATTTCAAATTTTAAGATGGCACTACGCAAAACGAGCATAGCCCAGCACCGCCTGAGGTAGGTGTTCCCGCTTCCAAAGGACGTATAGCTCCCGAAAACGACAAGCGAGCATGGCGATTTTTTAATGTACCAGATACGTCACCGTCGTATGCTAAAAGACGGAAAACCACCCAGAAACACCAATTGTCATGCAATCAATCTTCGACTAAGACAGACAAATGAAATATTGTCAAAAAGTGCCATGTTCTGAAGAAAGGCACCATGGTAGCCGAAACGTATACATTAAAAAAGACTTTCAAATGCATGTGGTTTCATTGGCCAGACAAACATGGGCGATTAGCGACATGAAAACCACAGGATAAGTTCCAGATGTTATATTAATGAAAGTAAACGATCCGGCATCTGTGTTCCAGCCACTTTACCTTTTTGAGCGTGGTGTTTCTGTCCGCAGATATTACACAGGCTTAAATAAATCATTATCATTTCCCTGGTAATATTTTTATACCGTAAATTCAATTCTTCCACCATCCTGTTTCGTCCGCCATGTTTTAATGCTAGATGCGTCTCGTGTAAGATCCTAAATATTTCGTCTTTATACACGAAAAGCCTAATCACATTATCTTCTTTAACAGGAACGATCAACCTTTCAGTTTCTCCAATATTCATAGTGTCGTATTTCCGAAGACGCTGGTAGTCTTCTGGTTTCTTGTGAGACACCTTACACTTAGAATCTTTTACTTTTTGAATCATCTCTGCATAGCTTTCCCTTGAGTAGAACTGCCTATTCTCGCCTTTCAGCGATGCTAACTCGATTAATTTTTCATCGAATTGGCGATTCATGTCAAATAGTTTTGACTCATCCATGACGGCAAACCCATACGCGGAAGCAGAGCAATATTCCCCTCGTATTTGTCTGGTATCTGGGTAACCAGTAGAGGTGTTGAAAAAGTAAAATACTCGAGTACTCGTTACTGCTAATACCCGAAGTAACCAGTATCAATCCGAGCACGAAATGATTACTTTGATTACTCTGTATCCGTTCCGGTTTCACTGTAGCACTGCCGCTCTTCCATCAGGGTTGCCAGACATTCCACATTCGGGCGGAAACCTGGAAACTCCAGATTTAAAAACATTTGTAAAATTCTATGCCCGCCAATCAAAAAAAAGTTCACCTGGTTACACCGTAAGTATTATGAACCAGAAATGCGACAACAGGGTACCAGGACCTTCACGAAAACCACAATAATAAAAATTACAGTAGCGGACAAAAGTTTGGAAACAAATATTAACATTATTATTAACTATTTCATATACCTAAATTAAAATTGTGATGGAACAGATAATATAAATATTAAACCCTACCTTTGCTCTCCTTACTAATACAAGGTTTATCTCATTAATATTTAAATTCTATGAAAATAAAAAAAAAAAACGCTTTTTTAAATACCACAGGTTTTGTAACGACAAAAGTATGGAAACATTTCAGTTTTGCCGTATTTATTCGTTCTGCGATACTCTGATATTGCGTGCGGTAATTATTAACATCAGTGAAAATGGCAAACGTAAAAGAATTTTCATAAAATTTAAGAGACAAAGTAATTGAATCATTTAGAGGTGGTATCAGAAATGTTGACATTTCTCAAAGATTAAAAATGAACAAAGGGACGATTTTGAAAATTATTAGTAAACATCAAGGATACGGATCAAGAGCAACACGGCCCAGGTGCGGAAGACTGAAAAAAACGATGTTTTGAATCGCTAGACATCATGGCGTGGGGCTGTTTTTCTAGGGCTGGAATATGTCCAATTGTTGAAATTGTTGGGAAAATGGATCAAAAACTTTACAAAGGTATTCTTAGTAAACACATGCTCCCTTTTGCTGAAAAAGAAATGCCTTTACGAGGGACATTCCAGGAAGATAATGACCTCAAAATTCGAAAAGGACTGGTTAAGACTAAAAAATTGTTAATGTTCTTACATGGCCTTCGCAATCCCCGGCCCTAAACCCTATAGAACATTTCTGGGAGCATGTTAAAAGACAACTGACAAGAAAAACTTAAAAAAATAGGTACGGTTTATTTGATTATGTAAGAAATATTTGTCAAAATATCCCAACAGACTGTAAAAAAATTGGTGTCTTCTATGAGCAGCACATGTCACCTAGTGTTGAATGCTATGCTACTAAATATTAGCTGAACAGTATTTTTTAAGTCTTTTTGTAGAGTTGTTGTATTTAATTTTGTAATAAAAAATATGTTTCCATACTTTTGTCGTCTCATTTTCGGTCACAAAATAATATGAAGGTATTTTAACGCTAGTCTGTAGGACCACAGCAAACACAAATTGTCATTTCTTTCCTCAAGACTAAGCATACTAAATGAGAAAAAAAATAGTCGTTATTAATAAAGAATAAAAAATTAGCACACTTTAAAAATTACTAAGAATGTTTCCAAACTTTTGTCCGGTACTGTATGTCATTTTAATTCGTGTTTACTTGTTCCACATTTTGCTAAAAATTTCTAATTCAGAATGAGCGGCAATTGTATGTGTAGACTAATCTCCACGTAGAATTTTTTATACTGCCAGATGCTTAATTGAAATGCTTTGAAAAGTTACTTTCCATTCCGAATTTCCTTAAGCCCCGTTTCTAACTAAAAGACATACTTTTCAAGCCTGTAATAACCCATCTCGCTTTGCATAAAGTTTGAAGATACGATGTTTCCATTGAACACGGCAAATTTGAGCCAACTATACTTGGAAATTTTTGTAAATTTTAAGGTTGTCTATTTTCTTACAAGATTCAGTTCCATTGAAGTTGTTCAAATTCGACATTAATTACACGACGCACGTTGCCAAATCCTTATACTCATGGTAATCAAACCAATACAATAAATGATTACTTTGTTGAAGAGTAACGAATACACGAAAGTAACGAGAATCAACACCACTAGTAACCAGCCCCAACCGACCGACGATATTTGCAAATGAAAGTAAAAGTCCACCCAACCGCCGCTGACAGACAACGACGAATGTTAGTAGAACAGTCAAACCGCGCGTCTATATTGGCTTCCCGTTTTGAACTAAAATCGTGTACAATCATGGCACTCTTCATTTGGAATAGCAGCGAGATGATTGGACAACGGACGTCACGTGGTGTTCCAACGCCCCGCCAGCAGCCAGTATTTATAACGACCGGGCACGGCGATAAATGACGAAGGTTAAACGGTTAATAACCCACACTGGTTGATTTATCGCTAGTTATAATGACCGGACACTATAGATGTTATGCTTTCAATAATTACTTTGCCCATTAACGTTTACCGACCCAGCGGCGTCGACTTTCAGATAATCGAGTGGGTTCATAACAGCGCCGCCAGATCTACAGTAAAAGTGGCACATTTACCGTTTTGAACCGCACAAGCTTTGATTATACGACGGTAACTCCTAAAGTATGGACTTCTAATTTTTTAAAGTGCAAAAACTAGTTATTTATTATCATTGATACATCAATATAAAGCTTGAAATTGGTATATTTTTCTACATAATCGATGCATTGCTGACCATGCATTTTTGTAAACGCTGGTGCAGTTTTTGTATGCCCATGAGCGTGACAAGTTAAAAAAATAGTATTACGTAGTATTACCTGCTCTATTAATCAGTGCTCCTATTTTATTCCACAAATTTTGTTTCAAATGTACATTTCTGTAGTCTTTACACGTGGCGTTGTATAAACTTTGGTGGTCGTTAACAAACTTAATTAAAACCTCGTCTTCTTCTGATCTCCAATCATGTGTTTCTTATGCTAAAACGAAACAATTTTCTCACTACTAACATGAGAAATCGCCGTTATTTACCGAATTCCTCTAAGAAGTACACATTTCTCCTCTAGGTAAATAATTAAAACGAAAAAATTCCTAGGTAAATAATTAATGTTTGTGTGTATTCATGTAGAGCTTCTTTGGCTTGCGGAGCGCATAATGGTCATTACTATTAAACGTTTTATCCATTTCCGATCACTTCTAACATTTTTTTTATCCCGAAGCTGCTGCGCAGGCAGAAGCCTAAACACCAGGGCAAGGCAGCTGTGAGGAGCTCAAAGAAAATTTGTTAATCCCATTTTTGAAGTGCCTAGGGTTAGTAGAATCGAGAAAAGCCTTCTCTGGTATATTGTTCCACAATCTCGGAACCTTAGAGACTTTAAACAGCGGTCGTATCGGCCAGTTCTGGATGTACATGGTTCGACACGGTTAGGATCTGAGGCCAAAGTCAGGCGGGTCTGCCTGGCAGGTACATGGCGCGGCGGCATCATGGAAAAGAGCTCTAAGGATATCCAGTTGACATATTGATTATTACAAAGTTGATTTTATAAATAAAATTATTTTGACAGATTTAAAGTCCCATGCTACTTGATAAATTAGAGTATTTGAAAACAAATTATATATTGATATATATATAATATCTTCTATCTTTATCGAACTCTACCATCTAGTAGCACAGCACAGTTTTATGGTCATTTGTGACATTCCGTGTGCTTCATTCGGGAAGTGTTGCCGACCTTTGAAAAAATGCTCAGATATGCTAAATATAGCTGGAAGTCTATTTAAATTAAATGTATCTACTATTTTTGTATGTGGAGTGTTACAATATGTATTTACATCTAAACAGAGGTAAGTATCTACTAAAAATGTTCTCCTCAGTGCACCGAACAAAGATACATAGATTATACTACAAATTCTTGGTAATGTAATATTTTAAGTTAACTTTAGGTAGGTAATTTGTTGAGTATGATCTGCCCACAGGCCTTCTATGGATGTTGCTAAATATTCGATTAGTTTAGCAATCTAAACACCTCATACGTAAACGTTAACGTCTAAGTCATGAAAAGCTCAGGAATCGAGGACAGTATAAATGGTAATTCCCTACTCCCGAACAGGACCGTCTTAAGCACAGAGGAAGTTCTCTTGGTCGTGGTAACATACTGTCAAACTTGACACCTTTCCAGGGACGTAGCAACAGCTTTATCAGCCGTATCAATGATACGCTTGGCTATTTTCATATCGTCCTTACGTACAAATTAGAAATTTTGACACAAAGATGTTGTTTGAGTATCGCTGTAGTTATATTTGTCAACAATAAATAAATATTCAAACCTTTTCATCTCCGTAATGTTGTTTTTGACTATGTTCTAGCCTGAAGGTTGTGAAGTATACAAAAGCAAATTTTGAGAATGATCTGAGGCTGTTTTGTTTCTTTACTCATAATATCGCCCTGCCATTTGAACGATTTCCAAAATGAAGTAGCATCTACTATCACCCCACACGCTGAACCTCAAATTTCGTCCAAATCGATGCAGCCTTTTCTGAGATTACAAGAGTAAAATAACGCCAGCATACCGACAGACAAACCGACGGAAATAAGTGACATCGGTTCACGTGTTGTCCAAATCGCAAACCATAAAGAACCGGTTATTTGAAGTTCTATCCGTAATCACGACTAATCGCATACAACGTTGGTTCATGCTACCACAAGTACTAAAAACAGGATGCGATCTTGACATTTACTGCTACCAGTCACACGGGAACGAGACGTCAACTTTGACAACTTTTTCGGTAAGAACGCAATCATTGATAATCATTTACTGTGATTCGTAAAATCTTCATTGCAATTATTGGAACTGTTATGTGTCCTTGTCAATTTAGAATTTTGATGTTGTGAATATATTTATTTAGAATTAAAAATGTGACATGGAATTTTAAGTTAGGATGTCATGCTGTTAATTTGAAACAGGTACAATGCGCGAATTGTGGGTTCACGCTGCTTGTAGTGGTTATGAATCTAGTGTGTATATCTGTGATTATTATAAGAACAGTAACTAAGAACACTAAACTATAAGTTCAGGCTACATACTGACTTGTGATTATTGCGACTGATTAATTATTAATAATTATAAGCAATTTTGTTAAGCAGATTAATTACCAAAGACTGTAAAATTGTTACAAAGTTGAAAAATTCATTAGTTTCTTAGAAAAATTGTAGATAATTGTCAAAAAAGGTGATTAAAATTTGGAATACTATATTCTAAATTACGTGCACTCTAAGTAAATTTATGCTTGCGGAGTTTTTTATTTTGGTTAAATATTTTGATGAGGTTCCTGGTTTTTGTTTTGTTTGATTGTTTATATCATTAAAATTTAATAATTTCCCAATAATTTAATGCATTTTTCATTTTGCTATCCCGTTTACTTGCAATTTGCTTCCAAAAAACAAACCAGTATTCCAAATATGCTGCAGTTCCTCTACATACATATGTATATAATCAAGTCCTCTTTTACACACTATTATTCTTATCTGCTATACATCCACTTGTTTGTTCCACTGTCTTTTATCCAGCGCCAACATTTTACTATCTCTCCATGCCATTCCTTTTTTCTCCAGAATATTTTGTACCACAGAGTCCCATCTCTTCTTCTCTTCCTAAACACTTTGGCTTCCCAGATTTTCTTCATTGGATCATCTACTTTCATTCTTTGTATAGACGGCCCCACCAGCTGAGCTGTCTATGCTCAATGAAATCCAGTAATGGGAGTATTTCTAATTTCTGTCTTGTGTCGTTAGATCTTATCCTATATTTCCTCGTTCATACTTTCACTTTTATCGGGTACTTCATTACCAATGCTTGTAGTTTGCTTTTTTAACTTTACGATAGTATCCCTGACGCACACGCATGTGTGTGAATTGGCCTGTATTTTGCTTGAAATCCCTTCTATCTCCCACGCCTACTGACGGCCCGCAGAGCTGCAGAACTGCCAAAACGTTTGTCTTAACAGAAAAAAAGCAGTAGTAATTTGATTATTATTTATTTTCCATGTTATCACACAAATAGAAACAATACCGGCCTGCTCCCGCAAGACACGGCGTCGAGTCTGTTTTGTACTGAGAAAGCATTACAATCGACCAATTATGTACTTGTCATTTTCGTCGCGACCGCAGCGTAACATTATTCATGGGCCACTGGAAAAGGGTCTTTGCACTACTTCGACACAAGCCGCACGCGCTTGGTTTTGTCTCTCTCTACAAAATGAAATGCGCGATTCAAGCATAACCATGTGCTGCAGTTCATACAGATCCGTACAGATCTAATGCGAAGTACGATATCTGATTAGTCGGTCGGTGCTCGATCCTCGGCGGGATTGACATATTGGTCTTGTCGCGTGACGTGGCTTAAAATTTGAATGCTAAAAATTTTATATTCGGGTATTTTGCGTCTTACGTTGAGTGACTAGTGGCTCACTGACTGACTGTGGCTGTGTAGAAGGGTACTGCAAGAAAATGGATGTGGTTTACAGACTTATCAGCGAGAAACGATTCTGGAAATACACATTAGAAGAAAAAATTGAGCTAAAGGTGTTAGGTCGACCGATGCCGGACATAGTTATAGAAACACAGGGCGTTAGTCGGGGCAAGGGCTATACGCGGCATTTCAGCAGGGAGATTTACACTAGAAATGACTGGATTTGTGGGTGCAACAGGAAAAATGCCCTTTTCTGCTTTCCTTGCATACTTTTCGGCGGTGACAAAGCTTGGACGGAGGTAGGTATTACAGATTTAGTGCACCTGAGTGAAAAAATTAAGAGGCATGAAAACTCTAAAACACATCTTCATAATTCGATGGAATTGGCTTTATTGGGGACTGTTAACATCCGAGCTCAGTTAGATTCAGCATATTGGAGAAATATACAACAGCATAATGATACCGTTACAAAAAACAGGTACGTTCTATCAAAAATAATCGATTGTATAAAATTTTGCGGAGCATTTGAATTGGCGCAACGGGGCCACGACGAAACCGAGAGCTCTCAAAACCTGGGAATATTTCGTGGACTGATTAATTTTTCTGCTGAGCTTGATACAACCTTAAGCGAACACATAAAAAATGCTTCAGTATTTAAAGGAACTTCGAAAGATATACAAAACGATCTACTGGATTGTATTCTTGAAGTTTGTCATGAAGAAATAATAAAACAGATTAACAGAGCCTCGTATTTGGCGATAATAGCAGATGAAACAACGGAC